AGATCTTTCATTTGAGTACCCACATCAATTTTTCATATATTTATATATATTTATATATATATGAATATATAAAAAATATATCAAAATGCGTGTGGGTACTCAAATGAAAGCTCTTGATGAGTGTAACATCAAGATGAGCTTATATCTTCAAAAATGTCAATAGTTAAGAAAGTACAGTGCAATTTAACAAAAGTCATTATTTAATAAAATAAAATTTTATTTATTTATAGTTCACAAGTCTCGGCAGTCATATAGTGATTACAAGGTTGCTAGTTTAAATTTTATATTTTTTTACGAAAAAAATTAAAACTAAGAAATAAAAAAAAAATCTTACCAGGTCGAACTAATTCGCGGGCTTCAATACAAACAATAGAAGCAATGAGTAAACCAGTTATCCACCAAGTCATTTTGGTCTTAATAGTATCTACTTTAAAAAATATTAAAATCACTGAAAAAGCACAAGATATCAGAGAGTTGTCTTCAATGAAGAGTAACTAGGTATTGTTATAAAATTTGCAATTGCTTTTATACCTCTTGAGAGATAGAACAGGGCGGGTTCGCGGTATCTTTTGCATTATTTTCTCCCTCCAGTCCTTTCCATCATAATCTTTTTACTCTTTATCTCTCGGCTCCTCAATATGTAATTCTCTATATGCTTCTCTGTCATCTCTATCTTATTTTCATTAGCTGGTAGACAGTTGGACGCAAGCATTACGCTAGTACCCATAGTCTCGGTAACAAACACAAACGCACGTGCATTGGTCACCAAATACGTGATCGGGGTCCAGATCAAACCCACTGAATATCGTTAATTTATTATTATATCGCGGATTATTCGCTCCCAGACTCAATGTCGGTGAACTTTCCCGACTATCAATTATTTGCTGCTGGCTGGACGAGGGACTTGTTTTCTTCCCTGATTTATTGTTTACCTAAATGAGGATTTTTATGTATAATAACAATAACGATCACCAAGGCAATATATCACAGCAAACTGCTACTTAATAAATTTACCATTTAAATTAGCTTTTGACTGATGACTGATGCTCAAAAATACTGCCGGGCTTGTAATATACGGTAAGACGGCTGTATATTTGAATTTATAAGTTATTAATATTTTTAAATTCTTTGCCGTCGGTTGGAATTCCGGAATCTTATTTGCTAGACCCTTTGATGCGTCAATGCCTTCATCTATTGAATTACAATTGTTACTACTGACGCACTTGGCTATTTTGCCAAGACTATAAATCTTTCGCAACGCAGGTGTCCATATCATTTTCATTCTAAAGTCGATTGAAAAAAAATTTTTTAATTAGTTTTCGTGAATTTTTCCAGATTTTTATCTTATATTCCTTTAAAAATAAATTTAAATTGATTTAACTTACTTCAAAAATAATTATTAGTGCCAATTTTAAAATATTGTTCCTACAAAAAAATTTATCAGAGAAAAGTTTTTAAGAATTTAACTTTATAAAAAGAATGTTTTTTATAATTTAAAAAAAAATATATTATCACTGTTATTCCAAAATTATGATTCATAAATTTTTTGATAATTATTAATCTTGCTTTTGCAATTACCGTGAAATTATTGAACCTAAAGAAAGAGTATCAGAGGCATTTTTTTTTTAATAAAATTTTGAAAAACTTTTGTTAAAAATAATTTTTTATAGGACTAATATTTTTGCTATAATATCAAAAATTTGAACCATTCAACTAATTATGTTATTTTTAATTTGCGGCAAAAATCTTGGCGCTAGTAATGATTGATTAACCAAAAAATTAATGAATAACTTTTAACAGTATTGATTAATTAAGGGTTTATATATACTTAGAATTTTTAAAATATAAATTTTTTTTATTTTTTTAATATACATATATTTAAGTATCTTCATAGAAAATTTAATTTTAATTAGACAAGTATTTTCAAAGTTATAAGGATTTTTGTAAAGCCTTCTCGGAGCATGTCGCATAAAATGGGGCTGAGGTTGAAAACTTGTAAATGTTTTTTTCTCACAACTGTATTTTTAAAATCGGTGAACAAGATTTATCAAAAACGACTGATAATCTCTAAATTTTAAGCAATTTTTTGGACTATATTTCATATTATCATTCCTTTGACCGATCGCTAGATAATATTTTATATTAGTTGAATTTTTTTGGATTTTTGAATTTCGATGATTCAAACCGAAGATATCGTGCTCACTGCAAGTAACCTTTTTTAGAGGACCATCAGAAAATCGTCTACAGAAGCTAGAAAAATCATAATTTGTCAAAAAAAGAACTTATTACTAAAGTTTAAAATCACTAATATATGCAAATCAATTTTCATGTTAATCAATAATTAAAAAATCGCTTTTTTCAGCCTTCTGGGACCGTATAACTTCTTAACTTTACAATTTTTTCCCTTACCTAAAAATATAACTTTATATCAGTTAAAAACTTTATTCGTTTTCTTCAACTAAAAGTACGTCGAAAAAAAAATCCAGTCTATTTAAGTTTGCGAAAGTCAATTATTTATTTTCTTAACATCTCATTTCGCTTCTCTCGTCCCTATAAATCCTCCTACTAAAATAGATTAAATATTCAAAAATATCAATTTTTAAACCTACAAAAAATAGAGTAAAAAACTCGAATAAAAGTTAAGAAGAAACTGAAAAAATAATTATAAAACTGAAAAACAATTTAAACAAACCAATCATCGATGAACTGAAAGTCATTAAAATTCATGCCGCATAAATCCATTGAACTTGTCCGTACGATAGTCTATATACATGTCCCATCGATAAATATTTATACCAGCATCCTTTTTTGGCAATTATGTTACGTCAAAAGGCGTATGACAAACCGATAAAATAACAATTTTATTAAAGGGAGCGTCGGTTTATCATTCCATATTATGTTTGGATTATCCTGGCGGGTTTTTCGGAATATAGATGTCCGAAAATGAGTCTCTTAAATGTTAACGGAAAATAGAATGCGATTACTTATATCCTAAATGATGATGATGATGATGATGATGATGATGATGATGATGAGAAGATGATGATGCAATTCCCATAATAATGTAATTCCAAGCTCGTCCGTTGGGCCATTCGTCTTTGAGCTTGAATATGAATCTCCTTTGTCTGTTCTGATGATTGTACGGTTTACGCGGCTCGGCATATTTCCGTCGCGTGCACACTCGAGCCAAAGCCAGCTTTATCTCCGGGCTTTACTCAGGTTGTTGGAGAAACCCTCCGAGAATTCCAAGAAGCCCTGTTACGCGCATAAAATTTTTAGTTTTGTATATGTCGAAGATAAGTACTCACCGCTCAACAATATATATGTTATCTACATAAATAACAATTAAAGTTGTTATTGTTTTTGATAATACATAAAACCAAACTAAAAAATATAAAATTTATTTTATTGTATAAAAGCGTGAAGTGCTTTTTAAGATATTTTAATAATGACTCAACTTTTACCAATAGTCAATAAAATATTTACAACAATTTACATCAAGCACCCCACGCTTTTTTACGATAAAATTGATTTTTTTGTTAATCACTCAATTTTTATTTTAAACTCATTAAAAATTATTTTCTACTTTTTAGTTTGCTTTTTTATTAAACCGTCTTTTTAACTTTTTTAAACAATTATTTATTTTCTACTTTTTAGTTCGATTGGCCGTCAAAGCGTATATTTTACTTTTTCAAGCAATAATTTTTAAAAAATTGTAAAACGTAGAAAAGGTCCCTGGTTGATCCTGCCCTTAGTCATATGCTTGTCTCAAAGATTAAGCTCTGCATGCGTTAGTACACGCCTTAGTACTTGGTGCATCAAGACACTGTCGTATCTTCGGATATAAAAAACCGGAAATCCTGAAGATCCTGGTCAGGATCGGGACAAACTTATTTAATTATTGTATTGTCATCGGTCCTTGATAAGTGTGCAAAGTTTTAATTTAATCCGACGTTTTGGTGGCCGGAAATCGAGTTAACGATTCCGTTACATACATAGATACAGGAAGAACTGATAAAACCGCGTTAAAAATATAAACTAGATAACAATAAAATAAAATAAAAGTACAATGAAAAATAGATAATTAGTTATCTAAATATTTGGCAATTGTTATGGGAAAAAAACCAAAGGGGTAAACTATTGATCCGTATAATCAAATCACAACCCTATTTTATCGAATAAAGACAAATATTGAGACAAGTAAAATTTTCCAGATAAAAATAAATGAATAACTACAATATTTACAATAATAACTATAAAATGGAGCGTGAAGCATTGCACCCAATAACGACCTGTTGTAATTTGAGCCAGTCTCGCGGTCGTAGGTTTGTAATTTTGATAAAAGAAAATTTTAAATTTCGGGTAATAAAAAATTAATTTTTGCAGAGAAAGAGAAAATTCAATTAACGTAAGCCACAGCGGCTCTAACGGGATGAACTCAACGGGGTCATTGAGCACACTTTCGAGAGAAGAGTAAAATTTTCCAGATAAAAATAAATTAATAACTACAATATTTACAATAATAACCATAAAATGGAGTATGAAGCATTGCAATTGAGTTAAAAGATTCTGTTATATACTTATATACAGGCGAAGCTATTAATAAAAGCGCGTTAATATAAGTATATTGATTTCTTCACGAGCCTGGAAAAATAAAATGTCGCTGTTAGTGAGGTTATGAATGATTGCATGATGCTGATAGTTAATATCGATTCTCATACCATAAAAATACTTACATATATATTTTTTCATACATACTTATTTATATTTATAGTTATATATAGTTCTGTTGCAGTGTATCGACATCAACATCGACAGTAAAAGTAAACTGGAAGTACATATTGCAACCAACGCAGACAGCTGTCATCCAGAGACTTGAGATTTATCGTCTTCCATAACCCTAAAAGCATGTCAGAGTCTTATTCACCGGCTGATGTTCGCTGATGTATATTCTAATCATACAGGCACGCAATGTGAGATACTATAATGATGAGTTACGAACGGTGAAATATTATCCAGTATATTTAAATATTATTTTAAATAAAATTACTCACGTCAGTCAACGACCTCGGAATCTGCCCGAAAATATATAAATTTGTATATATTGAAGATTCGAGACAGAAAACTATAATCGCTGACAATCAAATAGCCAATTTTTGCATCGTTGTCTTCATTTGGCTATAAATAGCGCAAGCTGATCAGTAGTCGAAAGCTGAGAGTGTTTATCGATAAATATTTTAGCGATATAACCTCAGCTACAGGTGTAGCGCTGATGAGACGGACATGTTTGCATGCAATACGCTGTGAATTTCCAATTCATTAAATTGATACCGAGACTTAGTAGTTTTACGAATTGTCTTATTTTGGTATTATTGGCTGGATTACGGTCTGCGATGGTATAATTGGCTACGATAAATTATGATAAATTATATTTATCGTATTTTTTTTTTAGAGAGAGGTTTGTTCAACAATTTAATAGTTGAACAAGTTTTCATTAAATTAGCTGATTACATTTAAAAGAAGAAATATGAGATTTCAAAATTTTGGACTTTTAAGAATTAAACTGAGAAAAAATAGTTTAATTTTTTATAATTTATAGTGTAATTAAAGTGTTAGTCATTAAGCGCTCTAAGTGAAAAACTTAAAAAAAATTACAGTTTCAAATTAAAAATTTTTACAATCTTAAAAAGTGAATTTTTTAAAACTGCAAAAATTGTAGTTTAAAGTAAAATTTAAAAAAAAAAAAACAATTTTAAGTATTAAATTTTACAGTTTTAAAATATATATATATATTTTTTTTTTTTCACAGAGTTTGTGAAAGTTTTATTTTGAAACTATAATTTTTATTTTTTTTCTTGGGAAGCTTAACTTTTAAAATATACACCACAAACTAAAATTATTCCACTGTTACAATAAATTTAGACTATTGTTATAAAAATTCAAAGGAAAAATTGAAAATAATTAAAATCTAACTACTTGATTATATAAATTTTTAAATAATTAAAATTTAATTATAAAACTAAAACATAATCATCACATAAAAATGTTTAATTCACATTTAAGACAACAAAAAGCTATGTTTACCAAGGTCCCAGGATCAGTATAGTTAATTTAGTCAACGAACACTGCCAGGATATCTTCAACTTTTTTGAAGATTCAATGTCTGCTTTCATAACTAAGATCAAAAACACAATACTAAATAACTAATACATTCACAATATCACCAATTCAATTTTATTTTATTTTTATTTTTATTTTTGGCTTCATTCTCATTATTTATATTTATATTAAATTCAAATATCACTTAAAATAAATAAATTAATAAATTCACAAGTTCTAAATAATTTTTTTTACAGTAAATTTTCTTTAAAACAATTTTTACAAAATTAAATTTGCAGTATTGTGTAAAATTAAAAAATTAAACCATTTTTTCTAAAAAAGGAACAAAGGATTAGGTAATAAATAAAAAAAACATATTTTTTGTTATGTGACTGCTAATTTTATTATACTTTTGTTACAGCCAAAGTCCGAAAGCAGGCCGAAACGTGTGATCACAGATAGGGTGGTGAAGAATCGTGCGGTTGTTGTCTTCAACGAAGCGTGCTAATTTATTCACCGAGATTGATTTTCAGAATTAAGTATCCAGTGTTCTAGTGCCCTGCATAAAAAAAATGCATCCATCAGTAAACTTGATAAAAAAAGAACTAAAGAAACAAAATCTGGTTTTTTTTTTTTTATTGAAACTAAAGAAGAAATAGCATACCATTGAGTTGTACGTCGTTGCCGTTTGTTCGGTACGTCTTTGATCCGACTGCCGTCACTGGACACGAGCCTAAAAGCCATTTCCGTAGGTTTGCCAGGTCCTGTGGTTCCTGATGGCACGTTCATCAGTATTTTTTTGTCTTGGCGATTCTCTTTAGATTTTCTTTTAACGCTCAGATCCGATGACACCACAATATCACCGAACGATTGACCAATCTGAACTACAAAATTAATTAATAATTTTCAAATTAAAAAAATTATTTAAAAAAATTCAAAGTTAAATTTAAATACTTACATTTTTCGTCAGTCAGTGCTTGTCCTTGAACATTGACAATTACGCACACCAACAGAACCAACAAAAGAGCCAAAAGTTGCGCCATGATCGGGATAAATGTCGGAAGGCCTAAAGTTTTTTTTTTTTATTTTTTTTCTAGACAAAAAATAAATTTATTATTTATTATTGAAATATAATTGACAGCTAAAAATTATTAAATATATTTTCAGGTGATATTTTGTAGGCAGAATGAAATAAAACGCCTTTAATTTAAAGACCGATCAAAGTAAAAGTCGGAATTGACGAGGTCACTTCTGGTGAACGTCGATCGCGGTGTGAAACTCGATGCCAAAAATCAAAGTAATTTTATTCCAATATAATTTTTTAAAATTTAAAATTGATAATTTTAAAAATAAAATATTTAAAATAATTAGTAATTATTTAATAAATGTATTTCAGAAGAGCTTGGATTCACTTACCGACACTACCCCGAGATAACTTTCCGAGACGACAACCGCACGAGAAATGCGAGCAGGATTGTAAGCAAGCCCACGGGATTACTCTTTCTTCTGTACCTTGCAGCAACTATATGCTATACCAGCAGCATTTACCAGATAGAGAACAGGAACAACACGAACGAGTACCACTTGGGACACGCAGTGTTCTTTAAAAGATTACATACACAGACTGTAGGTTGTTGCACCGGACGAACCACTTTCTATTTCATTTTTTTGGACTCCCTTCTCTTCTCCCTCGTACTCGTACTCTTGATGGAATAAGGACGGGTTTACCGGCTGACAGGGCCGTAAGAGAATATATCCTCTTAAATTATCCCTAACGAATTTACGAACCTCATATGCATCTTTTTGATACATTTCTTCTTAAGAAAACTCAAAAATCTAAAAATCTTTATATTAAAATAATTATTACTATTTTTATTATAAAAATTTTTATTTAAATTAAAAAAATTTTAAGCCCTTTATTCCTCCCTCACCCTTTTATCTTTTTTATTCCTCAGACTTTCTCTTTGATTTTTACTCTTTAGTTCTTTCCTTCTCTCTCCCCTTGTTTCATCAGCAAAAAAATCTTGCCGATTTTATTTTAAAGAACATCTGGTGGCTGGAACCGGACAAAGAGCTCGTAAGCTTAAGAGAAATCTTAAAGATGCATTTTAAAGAAAAACTTAACATGCAACACCGTCAGTTTTTTATTTTATTTATTGTTTTAGAATTTATATAATAAATAAGATTTTTTTTTAGGATCAGATGGGCTTCTAGTAGTCATAGCTGAAAAAAAAAAAAAATTAAATTATTAATTCTCAATAAAATATTAATAATTAAAAAAGATTAAAAGTATTAAAGAATACTTTTAATTATCAAAACATTAATTTAGGATAATAAATAATTATTAAAAATAAAAAAAAATGATTACTGATTAGTTTAATTTTTTATTTATACAGAAAAACCAACAAGAATTTAAAATCCGTCTGAGCATTACCTAGGAGAGAAGAGCAAAGCAAGCAGCATAAGAACAAGACTCGGAATGAGTGTAACCGATGATATTAAAAGCAGTGTCTCACCCTCTGGATTGAATCCCTTTAAAACGAGTTTGGGTGTCTAGCCTCGCTGTTTGTCGATACGCGAAGCAGGTCTAAGACGGGGCTGGTGCCTGAGAACCACCGAGTGTAGAAACTCCATGCACCGGAGTTGAGAGTTTAATATAATGTATGTATATGGTATATATATATATATATATATATATATATATATATATATATATATATATATATAGGATATATAAATATATAAATCTAGAAGGAAGAAATCTCTATAGAAATATAGAGACCGAGATATTCATTTAGTCCTTCTCCTTTTCACACGTCCAGATGAAAAAAGTATTCACCCGTTCTTGTCCCCGTCTGGCTTCAGAACAATACCATCCCGAGAAGAGACCATTAAACAACTCTCGCACGGTATAGTAACCCAAAGCCTTTACATCAGCAGCTTAAAAGGGCACATAAATAAATACACTTGGTAAGTATTTACATTGCAGAAAACCATTACACGCTGGATAGAAGACCCGGAGTCGTTTATTATGATAAGATTTATGTCTTTGCTTGCTTTGTCTTCTTCACCCTATTTTTTATTATTCTCTCTTTACTTTTGCTTTCTTCATTCCAATTCGTCGTCGCTTTGGCTTTTGCTCTGTTATTGTTATTATTATATTTATTTATTTATTATTTTACTGACACAATAGAGGGTAAATTTATAGTAAATCTAATTTAATTACTTCAGGAAAGAAGAAAACTGAAGCTGGTTGCCAGAAGATGCTTGAGCTGAGCTGAAAGAAGCCGAGAAAGGTCCGAAATTGAAACTTGCGCTCTGAGCATTCGCCTGGCTATTGCTGGCTCCAGAAGATCCTGCGGATGCTGTGGCGAAGGTACCAGCCTGATTATTGTTCGGGTAATAACCCCCGTGGTCTGGTCTTGGTCTCGGTCTCGGTCTTGAGCTGAAAAATACAAAATAAAATAAGACAAAATCAGTATTATACTTATGGGATTTCTGTGTAAATTTCAATGCAAGTGTGTGAGTGAAAGGGAGAAGAGGGAATGAAGAACAAGAATAAGAAGAAAAAGAGAGTTCATTAGCATTGTACGTTCAACGAACCCAATGCCGAGACAGCCGTGACCTCGACAGCCATGACCTCTTGGAAAGTTATGCTTTCTATGTCCAAATAATTCGCGCCCTTCAGGTACACCAAAGTCTGAATCTATTAAAAAAAAAAAAATTACAATTTATTATTATTATTATTTTTATTATTATTTTTATTAAAGATGGTTAATATTATAAGCTAGACTACCCGATCCAAATTGTTGGATAATGACTAATTTTTCATTATTATTTCTTCACCATAATATTTTATCGGTATGAAGTCTCAATACCATCAGAGAAAATTTAGGTGAAAATAAAAATTAAAATTTGTTTTTGATAATTATAATTAGAGAAAGATGTAATTTTTTACTCAATTTTAACTTTTTTCAGTGACTGAAAAAATAATTCAGGTAGCCCAGACCAGGACTCGTACCTGGATCTTTTGGTTACGCGCCAAATGCTCTACCAGTTAAGCTATCCGAATTGTCAAAAACAAATTTTAATTGTTATTTTCACCTAAATTTTCTCTGATGGTATTGAGACTTCATACCGATAAAATATTATGGTGAAGAAGTAATAATGAAAAATTAGTCATTATCCAACAATTTGGATCGGGTAGTCTGGCTTATAATATTAACCATCTTTGATTTAATAAATTTAAAACACCGATCTTCATATATTAAATATTATTATTATTTTCAGTTGCTGAAAAAAGTTACACTGAGTAAAAAAATCTTTTTCTGAATTTTAATTGTTAAATTTCACCTGAATTTTCTCTGATGGTATGAGACCTCATACCGATAAAATTGTTATGGTGAAGAAGTAATAATAAAAATTTAGTAATTCTTCAAGAATTTCGAATCGGGATTCATGGCTTAATTTGCTAAAATCTATTAATTTAAAAACCACCGATCTTCAAATCATTCATTTAATTGAAATTATTATTATTATTATTATTATTGTTATTTACTTTTTTTTTATTAGAAAGAAGAAAAATTTTTTTTACATCTTACAATCATCTGATGAAGGTCCAGGAAAAACAAACGGCGCTGCAGTAAATCCATTTATTAATTCACAGATAATAATTGCACAAATAATCACTCCGCCCTTCATTATTGGAATACTGATGGCTCAAAGAAAACTAATCGTCTGACAGTAAGAAGATATCCGTACTTATTATATATCAGTGCTGGGTCTTCCTATTCTGGGGAACTTTTGAGAGTTGACGGCCTTCTGATTCATGGTCATCAGCCTTAGCATACTATTAATGCTCGATATTTCTTTTTTACACATGATATTTTATTTTCAGAAATAATATTTGCACAGCGGATGTTTGTAGTATTGATTATTATAAATATTATAATGAATGTGTCATCGAATTAATATAGGAGCTGCATCAGAAATTTGGTCGGATTTTTTTTTTCTCAGATCCGACAGCTCAAGAGCATAATTCCGGTTTTTAACAATCAATTTAAGATTACTCATCTCTGGAAAACAATAGCATTAAATATAATTGTAGTTATTATAATTATTGCTATTAATATTATGTAAATAGGAAGAAGAATGATTGACGGTAATTTATTATTTAATAGACTTATTTATTAAAATACATCACTTAAATAGTAATGAGTATTCAGTGATCACTTGATCAGTAATAAAAATACAACAATTGTTTATAAATAACACATCGTAAAAAAAAAAAATATTACATAATAATTACAAAATACGTATGTGAGTATCGAGAATATCCGAAGGGCACGAAAAAGTAACAACTAATTACATTAATACATATCGGTACACTATAAATATATTCGATAAAAATAATTATTATAATTTTAATAATATATTTAAAAAAAAAATGTATGTATCTCTGTGTGTAAAGGAGTATTTATGATCAAGGTATCGGCTTTGAGCCCTCTGATACGGACTGTATTCTTGTGAAAACAGGTTTAACAAGATTTTAACACCATAATTATTTGAGTGATGCTCCTCGTCGTTTTGTATGGATAAAATAAAACGGGAATGATAAAAAGTATCGAAAGTTATTTTAAAATAATTGTCATGAAAGATACAACTTTATGCACTGAAAAAGTAACATTCGCTTTTTATCAGGAATGTCATTCATACCGAGTCTTGTTTATGATATACTTATTAATTTAAATATAAATATATATTCAAATATATATTTACATAATCATAATTATATTCATTTCTGTATTCTATAAGAATATTTATAGACATATCTATAAATATTTATAGAATACCGAGAATACACTGAAAGAAATTTTACAAAAAAAAAAAAACATTTATTTTACCAAATTTAAAATTTTAAAATAATCATACTTTTTATGTATGACACTAAAAAAAGTATTAGACAATTTTTAAAAATATAAATAAATTACTTTAATATTAACTAATATTTTTTTTCAATAAATTTTCTTGTTTAAAATAATTTTTTTCATCAATAATTTCTGAATTGTTTCAATTAATATTTATGAATACTAATCTAGTCAGTAAAAATAAGCATTCTAGTGGTGTCTGCACTGGCCTGGGCGTTGGCAGAAGCTGAACTTTTCGAACCAAACCCTGGACCAGCAGATGCGGATGCACTTGATTTGGCTAACGCTCGGCCGTTACCGTAAGCGTTGGCGTTGGAATTCGCAGAAGCAGATCCATTGCCAGTTGCACTTGCATCAGCAGTTGCTTTGGCACTAGCATCGCTATTAGCTCCAGCAGAAGCTTCAGCATTGGCATTAGCATTGGCATTGGCATGAGCACCAGAGTCAAGATGTCCACCAGAATTATACAAAGTTCCTGGCAATGGGTTTCCATAGGAGTCTACGGTTCCAGGTTGGTACCCTTGGGGTTTAGAAGATCCCCCAAAGCCTGCATTAGCGGTAGCAGAGGCCTCGGCAGCGGCGTGGGCATTTGCACCAGAGTTTCCGGTCACAGTTGGAAGCTGGTTGTTATTAAAGCCGCCGTAGTTTCCTGAGTCACCGTTCGACTGGACGTAGCCATCTCCATGCTTTTCAGGATGGTATAATCCATCATCATATGGCCCACCGTTGTTTTGGTTATCAGCTACCTGTTTTGTTCCTTGAGTATTGTCATAGTTGGCATGGTCATACTTTTCAGGGTGGTATAATCCATCATCATATGGCCCGACGTTGTTTTGGTTATCAGTCGTCGCTGAAGATTCAGCATTTGCATTTGCATTAGCAGTAGCAGAAGCCTGAAATTCATCGTTGGATCCTTGGTTATTTCCAAGGTCTCCGTAATATGTCGGCTGACTTGCAATTGGATTGCTTGGACCTGGAGAAACTCCTGAATTAGCGTTTGCAGTTGCAGTAGCACTGGCTCCAGCTTGGGCTCCACTGTTTAATGGTGTTCCGTCTGGGCCACAATCACAATCAGGTTCTGGTTTGTAGGTACCAGAATTGTCGTGAGTAGAGCCTCCGTGAGTTCCTGAATAATCATAATTAGTTCCCTGAGTTCCAGAGGTTCCATAATAAGAAGGCGGAGGTTTTTTAATTGGCTGATTGACGAAAGGATTTCCTGAACCAACAGTGGCTCCTGAATTAGCGTTTGCGTTAGCGTTTGCTCCTGCATTGGCATTCGCTCCACCTTGAGTTCCGCTAGGAACTCCGTAAGTTCCAGTGGTTCCATAGTGTGCTGGTTGAGTTTCTACATTCGGCTGACCAATAAATGGATTTCCTGAACCAGCAGTGGCTCCTGAATTAGCGTTAGCGTTCGCTCCTGCATTTGCATTCGCTCCACCTTGAGTTCCAGTAGGAACTCCGTAAGTTCCAGTGGTTCCATAGTGTGGTGGTTGAGTTTCTACATTCGGCTGACTAATAAATGGATTTCCTGAACCAGCAGTGGCTCCTGAATTAGCGTTAGCGTTCGCTCCTGCATTTGCATTTGCTCCACCTTGAGTTCCAGTAGGAACTCCGTAAGTTCCAGTGGTTCCATAGTGTGGCGGTTGAGTTTCTACATTCGGCTGACTAATAAATGGATTTCCTGAACCAGCAGTGGCTCCTGAATTAGCGTTAGCGTTCGCTCCTGCATTTGCATTTGCTCCACCTTGAGTTCCAGTAGGAACTCCGTAAATTCCAGTGGTTCCATAGTGTGGCGGTTGAGTTTCTATGTTTGGCTGATTTATAAATGGATTTCCTGAACCTCCAGAACTGCCATAATTAGGCCCAGTTCCGTATGTTCCTTGATTGTAGTTTGTTCCAGTAGGAGCGCTGTTCTGAATAACTGGTTTTTTGTTTAAAAATGGATTCTTAGCTCCGGTATTTCCTCCATAGTAACCAGTATTTCCATAAGTACCTGACGTTGGATTGCTGGCATAAGTTCCTCCGTTGGTTCCAGATTGAGCGTTTGCGTTAGCATTAGCTTGAGCAGTCGCTTGAGAATTTGCCTGTGAATTATCTCCAGTATTTCCTCCGTAGTAACCATTGTTTCCATAAGTTCCTGTAGTTGGATTGTTGGCATAAGTCCCTCCGTTGGTTCCAGATTGAGAGTTTGCGTTAGCATTAGCTTGAGCAGTCGCTTGAGAATTTGCCTGTGAATTACCTCCAGTATTTCCTCCATAATGACCTCCATTATTTCCATAATTATATGTTGGCTGATTAATTGGATAAGTTCCTACGTTTGTTCCAGATTGAGCGTTCCCATTAGCATTGGCGCCAGAATTTCCAAAGAACGGATTTTTCCCATACTTTGGAGCTCCATAAACTCCAGTATTAACTGTTTGTCCGTTTTGGTATCCTCCGTTGTAGTCATTCTTGGCTAAAAAAAAAGTAAAATATTATTATTAGTTAAAGCATGACATCACTAATATTTAATCACAACATAAACACTTGTAATGATCAATAAAAAAATAAAAAAAAAAAAAAACATGTTGTCATGTTTATGACTGGTGATAAAATTGAAAGAAAAAAATGTTTACAGACGAAAGCCGGATTTGGATACCAACGATTAAGCCAGAGGAATGATAATAGCCGAGAACCAGTGTAGTAATAAAGGTATAAAGTCCAATAAAATAAAATAAAAATAATATTATACTGATATGCAGACAAAAGAGTATCGTCATCGAATGGTTGAAGGAATAAATTTTGATGACTTATAATAAACTGATGCTCACCTGGAGCCGGTCTTTCGACAAAGATTATTTCTTGTTGCCCATAACCCGATTCGGGAGAATTATTACGACGATTTGGCTTACGGGGGCGAGGTCGTCGGTTTGTTGGGGGTGAGTCCGATAGAACAATTGGTATTAATACGGCGGTAGCTGAGCTTTGGGATTGAGATGTTACTCGCGAATCTTCAGCGGGGACGAATCTGATAGACCCTTGCCCGTAGTTAGGCTTAGAAAATTGTTGGTTATTTTGAGGTCTAAAAACAGCACCAGTTTGAGCGTTAGATTGAGAATTAGCGTTTGATTGACTAGTTGGGCTTCCTTCAATGAATGTTATTGTTATTTTTTGTCTTCCGGAATTTCGTTGAGGTACTTGTCTACTTGGTACTAATCTTATTGTATTTCTATTTTTATTATTAGTATTAGTATTAGTATTAGCAGTATTGAATTGGTCAGGAGACTTTGGTAAAGACTCATAATTAGTGTTAGCGTTTGCTGTTGAAACAGATTGTCCACCCTGATTGTTATAATTATTTACTGGATAATTATTATTGCTATTATAATTATTAGGAGGATTTCCAGGTTTATATTGATTATTAGAAATCGTTGGAACTTCGTAATTAGTATTAGCTTGAGAATTAGCATTTGCAGCAGCATTTGCTGCTGATCCAGAATTGCTGCCTTGATTGTTATAATTATTAACTGGATAATTATTATTATTATCATTGAAGTTACTTGGTGAGTTAGATTGACCATTAGAGTTCGGGGAAGATTCATAATTAGTCCCAGCATTTGCAGAAGCACTAGCAACTGCTCTTGCTGATGCTCCAGAAGTTGCCCTTTGATTATTATTATTATTAAAATTATCAACCGGATAATTGTTACTATTCAAATTAGGAGTTTGTTGGTTAAATTGATTATTAGTTGGTTGAGATTCAGAATTAGTATTAGTATTTGCTGCTGATGCAGAATCTCCACCTTGATTGTTATAATTATTTACTGGGTAATTATAATTATTATTGGGAGAATTTACCGGTTCATATTGATTATTATTAGAAATCGGCGGAACTTTGTAATTAGTATTGGATTGAGAATTCGCATTTGCAGCAGCATTTGCTGCTGATTTAGAATTGCTGCCTTGATTGTTATAATTATTAACTGGATAATTATTATTATTATCATTGAAGTTACTTGGTGAGTTAGATTGACCATTAGAGTTCGGGGAAGATTCATAATTAGTCCCAGCATTTGCAGAAGCACTAGCAACTGCACTTGCTGACGCTCCAGAAGTTGCTCCTTGATTATTATAATTATTATTATTACCAACCGGATAATTGTTACTATTCAAATTAGGAGTTTGTTGGTTAAATTGATTATTAGTTGGTTGAGATTCAGAATTAGTATTAGTATTTGCTGCTGATGCAGAATCTCCACCTTGATTGTTATAATTATTTACTGGGTAATTATAATTATTATTGGGAGAATTTACCGGTTCATATTGATTATTATTAGAAATCGGCGGAACTTTGTAATTAGTATTGGATTGAGAATTCGCATTTGCAGCAGCATTTGCTGCTGATTTAGAATTGCTGCCTTGATTGTTATAATTATTTACTGGATAATAATTATTATTATTATCATTGAAGTTACTTGGTGAGTTAAATTGACCATTGGAATTCGGGGAAGATTCATAATTAGTCCCAGCATTTGCAGAAGCACTAGCAACTGCACTTGCTGACGCTCCAGAAGTTGCTCCTTGATTATTATAATTATTATTATTACCAACCGGATAATTGTTACTATTCAAATTAGGAGTTTGTTGGTTAAATTGATTATTAGTTGGTTGAGATTCAAAATTAGTGTTAGGATTTAAAACAGATCCACCATTTTCTCCTTCTTCATTATAACTACCAACCGGATTATTATTACTATCAGAATAAGTATTAGCATTCCCATTACTACCTGTTAATTAAATTAATTTACATTTTGTTAGAATAATCTAAGAACCACACGGCTGCCAAATTTTAAAACACAGTAACTGTAAAATTTTTATACCTGATTTTTTTTAGTCTTGCTGCGTTTCTTATAACTTTTAGATGTTAATTTCAAGTATTTTTTCTTAAAAATATTCATATTCAAGTATTTTCTATTTATAAATCAATTTTTTTATTAATTAAATTGAAACAAGAAAAATTTTCTTCAAAATGGTATTCTTGGTTCAAGATTTTGGCTCTTGAGTCGAGTTAATTTTTTTATCAGGGTACCAATAGTCCAATTATAAATTATTTGAATGATCCAAGCCAAAATATTGTATCTCTATTAGATATTGAATGGTTTTTTAAAGTGACAATAAATTTTTAACTAATTATTTTTTCGTACAAATGGAAGATTCTTTAAAATGGAGTTAGACAATTTGCTAATTAGAACGTCGATACGTATTTTCTGACTTAGCTCGTCGAGTTAAGTTGGAAAATAGCCAAATTTTTCAAAAATTTCATCATGAAGACCAATGCAATAGTTAGATTTCTATAAAATCTATTAAAAATTTTTAAAAATCTTAAAATTGTCAATTACTGTTATCAATATTTTTTAGAATTGGATAGATCATATTAAGATTTTTGTATTAATTTTGGATGGCCGCAAGAAGTTTTGACTTCATGGCCAATTAAATAAATAAATAATAATAATACTGTGTTTTGAAATTGGGCACAAAACTAACTTAAAAAATTAAATAATTACCTCCATAATGTCCAGATCCGTGAGCATTAGCTCCAGCGTCAGCTTGACCGTTTCCAAGAGTGTGAGTACCAGTATTAGTTACACTGTGTCCGCTATTATCAGCATAGGCATTACCGTAGGCATCAGCACTGTTGTAATCATTGCCACATCCAGGACTTCCATTAGGGTAGTACCCAGAATTTCCTCGGCACATGTTTCCATTGTATCCAGTGTTTCCATTCTGGTAATTCCCGTTGTAAGCAGGAACATTGGTATTACTGAATCCATTGCCGTATGTTCCAGCGCCAGTGTTAGCGTTAGCGTTAGCGCTAGCTTGAGCAGAAGATATGCCATTTCCATAAGCATTGGCACTAGCATCAGCTTTTGCAGAAGCACTACCACCAGAACCTGCGTTTGCTGTCGCTGAAGCTGAGCTTACAGCTGTAGAAATACTAAGAGGGCCAAGATTCACATTGTTCGACAGACTCTGGCTGTTAGCTTCAGCAGAAGCTCCAGCGTTGTCTTGTTTTCCATGGAACAGCCCCAAGGGATCCAAAATGTTGGCCGCTTTATTGATATGTTTATGGGCAAGGTCTCGCAAGATACCTATGTAATGATAGTTATTATTGTCACTATATTATTACTTTTGGTGTTGCTAATAAAGAAGAAATGATTTGTTGATGAATAATTAATAATTACCTGCTTGCAATCCACTGGCCAGGAGCAGTACCAAAAACGGTACAAAACACTTAACCGATTTCATACTCGGCCGATTAATTGTTAGTGTCAACTAATTGAATATAAATAATTGTTGTAATAATAAACTATTCGATTGACTTGTGAGACAAGACTGAGAATGGAGAGGCCAGGCAACATCTTTTATACTTAACGCGACTGAACCATTTGAGATGAACAATTATTGTCCCATCGGCGTTTCCCCGCGTCGAATAAGTGGTGGGATAATGTATAATGATCACTCACGGATTTCCCACCCGGGATTTAATTGCGATATCAATAGTCATCTTCACTATCGCCATCGACATACACTGTTAACAAGTAAAAAGTCATATTCATTTCATTGCAAGCTTGTTTGTATATACATTGCTTAGTGGACAATATAATAACGTTACCAGATCGCTAGTAGGAGTAGTTCAGGGTCACGGTCCGCTCACCTCGACTACTTCGACGATATCGGCTTCTTCATTTCGGGTTATTCTTTATTCTTCATGACTGCCATTTGTTCTTTTTTTGGACTAAAAATAGAATCATACTGAAAGCAATAGACACCTTAATATTTTTATTAACCATTAAATTAATATGTAGAAATTTTTAAAAAATATAAATGCGAATTGTAATAAATTTTTTTTTTTATTATTGATTTAATAAAAATTTCAAAAACTGTAAGGTGTCTGCTGATTTAAGAATAAAGACAGTTATTGGGTTACGAATAGTAAAAATTACTTAATCTTTTTTTTTTGTAAAAAAGAAAATTTTAATATTTTTACCTTAAGCTAAAAAATTTTCTGTAATTATTGACATGTCTTCTTTTTTATTATTTATTTAAAGTCACGACAACTGTATAATTTACAACTTCAATTATTTACAAAAAAAAAATTATTTTTAATAAAGAGAACAAGTAATAACATTAGTCAGATGTTATTTAACAATTTTTTAATTTTATTTAATGAAGAAATTTATTCTAAAAAATTGCATTTTTTATTTTTGAAAATTTCTAAGTCAATTTTTTTTTGTACTACTTATTTACATTTTAAAAAATTTCTAAAAATCATTTAATATCCGCTACTTTAATATTCATGAATAAATATTGTACCAAATATATAAATTGAGATATTTTAAGTACTTTATCACTTTTTGATGACACTGAAGTTGACAGACATTAGAAATTTTTTTAGAATTTTATAGTAGTCAAATTATAATGAAAAAAATTTAATTAAAAAACTCCACGTGAAAATTAAAAAAAATGATTTTTTATTGTAATTAATTTTTTATAAAAATTTAAAAAAATTGATGACAGTAAAGTTAGCAGTCATTAGAGAATTTTTTAACAAACAAATTTGTTTCAAAAAATAATTTTTAAAAAATTGCATTTTTTATTTTTTTAAATTTCTACATGCTAATTTTTTTTCTTATTTTTTTTTTTTGACATAATTTATTTATTAAAAAAGATTCTAAAAATTATTTAATATCTGCTAAATTTATTTTCATAAAAAAATTGTCAACTATATAACTTCAGTATAATAACTTTTTGACATTCTATTGTGTCAAATATTTTTATGCTTTTCTTCTTTAATTTTCCATTTTGTTTATTTTCTATGAAAAATCGTGGTCGATGATTCATGGGTTTTTTTAGTTTTATCAAAACTAAAGTACATCTTATATTTACATTTGATATACTTTATCTACACCATTCTCTATAAAAATTAAGTAAGTTGACATTTAAAAATTTTTAAGATTATTTTTCACTTAAAAAATGATTACAAAAAAATAAAAAAAAAATTTAATTTGTAAAAAACTTTAGCCGGCTAAACTATCCATTTTTTTAGATTAATACACCACCCATTTTTTGGTGATAACAAGTTTGTTTTTTCAGGAAGTTTATGAAGAAAAAAATAATAACGGAACTGCAGAATATGTAAAAACAATAAATAATTAAAAAATTTATTTAATTGATAAAAATCACTGGACTAAACAATAGATCTAAGATAGTATTGAATTCTGTTTACCTGCCGAATAAATTAGCATTAAATATTTTTCATGGATTATTTTCTCAGAAAAAATTAATTAGTCTTATCTAAAAAAAAATGGTGATAAAATTTTTATTTATTACTTAATAAAACTTTTTGCTCAACGATCCTTAATTACTTGAGTACTCATCAAATTGCTGTTTTGCGTTCAGAAAATCTCAGAAATTTTTATAGAGAAGAAATAAAAAAATCTAGAAAAAATAAAAACAGAGAATTGAAGAACCTTCGCAGGAGAAATTTAACATCACCTTGAATACGATCCTTCGGTACGCCACTGGAGATTGAGGAGAAAACCCGAGTCCCTTCGTGTGTACTTGAGAAATTCCTGGAGGTAACCATTTAATTATTAATACAAAAAGTATTTTTTAAATGATTATAAAAATTTAAAAAAATTCAGATCATCCCAGAATTTACACAAGCAACACAATAATATGTTTATAAATCGGTGAGTAAATACATACGTATGCATTATTAAGTAATGTCTTGTACGTTGATAAAATCTGTACGTGTTACGTGTCATCTTTGAAACAGAATTCTTGCGAATCACGTGGGTATGTGACGCTGGGAAATTTAATCTGGAGATTCCGGACATTATATTTGCAATACCATGTCCGATTATTTTACAAAAAACTACCAATCTAATTACGTCATCAACTAATAATAACAATAAAGGGCCAGTAGAGATATAAAAACATTTCTTCTCATAAATAAAACATTTCTTCTCATAAATAAAACATTTCCTCTTGAAGTTAGAACCTGTTTTTTATTTGGGGTTTCATTATATTACGCATTAAATCAATTTTTACGACACATATAATACTTGAATTTTTTTTCTAACTTTAAACTTGTATAATTTATCATTCTTTTCAATAGATTAAACCTTAAATAATTACATTAAACACATCTAATCTTAAAATAAACAAACAACATTTAAATAAATAAAAAAAAATATTTTAAAACAAATTTTTCATTAAACTTTATTGTCTTATATTTTGATCAGATTTCTTCAAAAATACTCAAGTAACGTGCATTAAATAAGTACAGTAATTTAATATTTAATAAAATTCCTAACTAACTTCACTTATTTATCTAAAAAAAAAATCAAGCGTAAAAACAAATTACAAACTAATATTTAAAAATTAAATTTCCTCGGCAGTTATGGATAAAAAAAAGATAAATAAACACTGCAATAGCACACAAATGGACTTGACATAACGCGATAAAAATAAAGCGGGTCATTTATTAGCCAATGACTCCGATTATATGAAATCCAATGGATATTCCGTGAGCGATAATAGATTATACGCAGAGATTGAGTGAAGGATTGATAAGGAAATCAACAAGCTATTAATTAATGCTATTGGCAACAGTGTATATATTTATGTATCGTCGATAGGATGGAATCCCAGGTAACACCTGTCTTTTTTAATTAATTTTTTCTTATCATTATAATAGTAATAATTATTGTCTTTTTTAAGTGAATCATAGACAGCATATCTTCAGTTGAATTTGTACATTCTTAAACTGATAATGCAATAGCATTCTTAATATATTTCTTCTTATTTTTTTTTTTTTTTTTTCTACTTTTTATCAACGACAAATTTAACATTTAATTGCATTGTAACTTTAATATTTATAATTTATTATTAATATTTAAAAAGATATGTCGGGTTTCAAATGAAATTTTACCTTTTTTTTTTTTTAAATAATAATAAATAATAAAATCAAAGTCAAAGAAGAAAGAAATAAAAAGTAAAATAAAAGGAAGCTTAAATAAATCACAGATGCTGTAAGAATCTATCTTGATAGCGTATTGACATGTTCAATTGACTAAGTCTAAGGCTTTTTTTAACAAACAGTCTTTCTCATTTTCAATAAACGTTTTTTTTTTTTAATCTTAATACAACAAATAAATTAAGGAAGCGGGGATTTTCCATTGGCATTATCAGTCTCAATCGGATTTGAGTTAGAATTGTTTGAATTATGATTACTATTATCATTGTTGTTGTTGTTGTTATTATTCTGATTATTGTTATTTGTTTTTTCAGGATCTTCAGACTGTTCGGTTTTGGATGTCAAGGCGTAGTTTCTGAGGTACTCGACGACCTGGGTATGACCGAAGGTCTCAGCTTCGTCGATAGGCCGATTGCCCCACCTGAAATAATTTTTTACCTCGTTATTCATTAATTCATTAATTATCTTAAAATAATAGTAATAGACAATGAGTTGGATGATTTATAGTACCTGTCCTTGGGATCATGAGGAACTCCGCACTGTTCGATCAAAAATTCAACGCAGTCGAGATGGCCTTCGCTCGCCGCTAAATGTAAAGCTGTTCTGCCGTCGTAATCTGATAGTGTCATATCCATTCCGCTGAGACGGTGCCTAGGAATTATTAATCGAAATTATTATTTTTATTTTCGTTCATTCGAGACCAGAAAAAAATTAATAGCCTTATTTACAATAGTTAGCTCATAAATATTTATTTTTTTTTTTTTTAATTATAGACAGTAACAAATAACAGTAAAAATACTTTTTTTTTTTATTTATTTATTTACAAATTAAAATTTAACGATTAGTAGGTGTTAAAAATAACCAATAAATTAATTAAATAAATAAAAATAAAATTAGTCTTGAATGTTTGTGTTCCGCGTAACGCGTAACTTACCGCTTCAGGCATTCTTGTAAGTCGATATCGTGTCTGTTAGCATGCATTGAGTACTGTGTTTATTAATTAATAATATTTGTTTATTATATTGTTACTAAGTGTTGTATGACATGTGTTACATGTTGTGTAAGCCAGTGATTTAAATTTCAATTTAAATTTTAATCGATGAATATGACTAATGAAAACGTAAATGACTGAGTTATAATTGTCAAATATTAGTGTACCTTCGCATAGCAGTAACGTCGCCATTGGCTGCACTGAACAGTAAGTTTACAATTGACAGTCCCTTGGTCTCGTATTTGTGCCTACGAGGGTCTTTTTTGTTGGTAGCGTGCTTCAAATTGTCGTATCTGTGGAAATTAAACTCGTTGACGAGCTCCTCGCAAAACTGAACCCCTCGACAAGAGTTTCCAAGAGAGTCCAGGGGTGGAGACCAGGTACAAATCCCCATTACGTTGGGGATCACTACTAGCAAGCTGCCGGATACTCCTGATTTTGCTGGTATTCCTACCTGGTTATTTGAATAATTAATTAGTTATTTATTTATTCATTTGACGACAACCGGCATTATACAATAATCAGTATATTCTTTAAATTATAAGATATTAATTATAAATTTTTAAATCTGAGAATTTTGGCTCGATAATTATACACAGATAGGTTTATTTGGCGATGCTTGGAAAAAATTAAAAAGAAAAAAAAAGAAATTCAATAGTTCAAAAAACAAATTTAAAAAAAAAAAATTTAACGGTATTATTAATAATATTGCAATATATGTTTCTTGAGATTAGATTAGTTATGATTGTGAGTATAAGCTTCAAGATACTTCTTGGAGCCAGTGATTGTTTAAATATTAAACTACCTTTTTATGATGAAAAATCGGTATTAATTTTTCATCTTTAGATTTTTTTAATTACAGAGAGAAAAAATAAATTTTGAAAAAAATGAGCAATGTTGTAATAAACAATTAATTTGTTATAAATTTTATTTCTTAGCTGAAGAAATAAAAATTTTTCTCACACACGGAAAAAAGTAAACTGTAATATTCACTCGGATTCCGGTTAGTTTTTATAGTTTCAAACAGTAAAGCGGACATCGGGGTGATAAAAATGTAAATATTACAGAACTTAATGTAGAAAGTATAAAAGCCACAATTTATAATTTAATATCCAAAATAAGTGATTAGTAGTTGTCACTATAGTAAATAACGACTCTTTCATCTTTAAAAATTACAGTTTCAAACAGTAAAAATTGCCATTCCAATATATAGTCCATATTATGAAGAGAAGGGGAACTCAGATGAAAGAGAAGGGGGTCTCACTCTGGGAGAATTTAACATTTCAAACAGTAAAAATTATACTTTTAAAATATACATTTTATCAGTCTAAGCAAGTCAATAATTACAGTTTGATTTTTAGCGTTGCGTTTAAAATTTACCATTTTACTTTGTAAATATTGACGTTGCTTGTATTTAAAATTTACTAACTTTATTTTATACTTTTTACATATCATAACATCATTTTTAGGTTACGAAATGATAAATATTTTGTTAAAAAAAATTTTTTCATAAAAATAAATATATTTTTTAACAAGAAAGTTACTGTGAGAAATTTTTATTTTTGCAGCTAAGAAATAAAATTTTCAACAAATTAATTTCTTGTAAATTTATTTTTAAATAAATTTTTTAGCAAGTAGCAACAATTTTTTCCGTTCATGGGGTCAACTAGACCCAGTATGACCACTGTGTGATTTTTAAGAAGTGTGACCTTAACGGATTAAGCAATGATGATAATTGATGAAAAAACTTACTCTGAAAGCAAACTGGCCACTGTAATCATACATCCCGCAACTATGCATAAGACTAAGTACATCTCTAACACTCTCGGGCTTTAGAACTTTCTCCTCAGTAATCGGACAGATACCTCCGTTGGCGAGGGTAGCAGCCATCACGGACATAGCGTCGCAATTGGACTCCATAGCACAGCATTGGAAATAAAAGTCCATTATATCTCTGAGATTACTTTTGTCTGGATAACAACCATGTTCCCGCATGTAGAAACCCAGTGCGTAGTTTCTGTCAGCGGCTTCACGCTCAGACAGAAAAACAGCGTTGTTAAAGCCGAGATTCTCCCCGCCTGCCAGCTTCTTGAAGCAATTCATGGTAAAGTCAAACTTCTCGGCCAAAGTCATCTCGGGCTTTATGAGACTTTTCAGTAGAGAGCAGATGAGAATAGCGCCGGCATTTATCATCGGGTTGTGAGGCTTCTCTGGGGTAAAAGAATAATCGATAAGTAACAAAGGTAGTTGAAAAATAAAGTAATGTATGAGTTAAGTGTAAAGAAGAAATAAAAGATCTGATAAGATTTAAAAAGCGAGATGACTTACTATTGTGATCCAGAACGAGTTCGTTGAAATTCCGACCCGAGGGCTCTTGACCAACGTACTGATGGACAACTTGAGGACCCAAACTTTCCAGTGCAATGGCATAGGTCAGGGGTTTACTACAACTTTGTAGAGTGAAAGGAACGGTGGTGTCACCGATGCTGAACCGCTGCCCGTCAATGGTGCACACCGAGACCCCCCAATATTCTGGGTTCATCCTGGCTAGTTGAGGTATGTACGAGGCCACTTTCCCCTCGGTGTTGGTCTTGCACTTCCAATAAAAGTCTTCTATGTGCTTTGTTAAACCGGCCCAGTCGGGGATTACAAACTGGTGTCGGAATGCTCGTGATATTAATGCAATATTTGGTGTTACAATCCTATAACATTTTTATTCATTGTTGAATAATAATTTTTAATTAATATAAGGATTTGCTGTATGATCATTCACATACTCTTTAGCTGACTAAGAATTTTTATTTTAACTACTAATTGGTAATCCAGCCAACTTTTAAAAATAAATTCAATAATTATTATATCCCACTTCCTAAAGAGAATTTATAAAAGAAAATTTATCACATCAGTATTTACTCATTAGGAGCAAAGATCATCTTGAAAAAATATGCTGATTACATCTCGTGGCTGATAGAATTATTTTGTTTATGTATAAAATTGGACGGACTTGCCAATTATAAGTTAAAATAATAATTGTTATTATTATTAACAACCTTGCAATCACTATGTGACTGCCGTTATTTGTGAACTATGTATAAATAAAATTTTGCTTTATTAAATAATGACTTTTGTTAAATTTCACTGTACTTTCTTAGCTATTGACATTTTTAAAGATATAAGCTCATCTTGATGTTACACACATCGAGACCTTTCATTTGAGTACCCACATACATTTTTTATATATTTTTCATATATACATATATATAATATATATTTTAAAGATATAAGCTTATCCCGATGTTACACTCATCAAGAGCTTTCATTTGAGTACCCACATGCATTTTGATATATTTTTCATATATACATGTATATAATATATATAAATATATGAAAATTTTATGTGGATACTCAAATGAAAGCTCTTGGTGAGTGTAATGTCGGGATGAGCTTATATCTATAAAAATGTCATTAGTTGACAAGATACAATGTCATTTCTTAATTATTGACATTTCTTAAGATATAAACTCATTTCGATGTTACACTCATCGAGACCTTTCATTTGAGTACCCACATGACATTTTTCATATATTTTATATATATGGTATTTGTGAAATATATAAATATATAAAATATATGAAAAATTGATGTGGGTACTCAAATGAAAGATCTCAATGAGTGTAACATCAGGATGAGCTTATATCTTTAAAAGTGTCAATAGTTCAGAAGATAGAAGGTCATTTCTTAATTATGTATCTAGCGATAGAACATTTTCAAATGTAGCCTAAATACTTATCATCATAAATTGACTATAAAGGCACAAATTAAAATCAAGACCTTCGCAATGACATTAAACCAATTTTATTATATGACTATTCTGGACATAAAATTTTTCTTATTCTTTTAATAATATAGATTATTATTAAAATATTGATAGATAATAAAAATAATGAATTAACCTTTTAAATTGCTCACGATTAAGTTTTTGTGTTTCATGAGAAACACCTTCAGTACCACCAGTTTTTAAATGCTCAGCTTTCAAATTATCTGTAAGTTCTTGAAGTCGTGGGTCATTTTTTCTTAACCCGGTTGTTCGTAATGCCTGAAATTACAAAAAAAAATAATTAATTATTATCACTTTGATTATTAATTATTAATAAAATAAAAAGTTAAAAACTTACAGCCAAAAATTTTCCCACAGACAATAAATCGGTCTCTTCATTTTTGAACATATCAAAAAGCACATCCTCAGCATTGGCGCCATGATCTTGATTCTTAGTGCTGAAAATAAACGATTTAGAAACTTTAACAGTATTGAGTCATGCATGATAGAACAACGGCGATTATATGTTTATAAATAATCTATAAAAGCGACGACATGAAATTAATGAGTGTGTCCAACAGATACCCCGACCATGACCATGAAATCGTGCAAATTTAAATACCCAGATATTATGAGAGAGGCGCAAATAATAATAAATTATAAATTACCGACACTGACAGAAATTCATCATACATCCCACCTTCCAAAAGTTTCTATTTTATTATATAATGAATAATAATAATAATAATAATAATAATAATATTAATAAAAATAGTTACTACAGCCCGGAGAGCCAGCGCTTCAAAAATAAATAAATTCTACATTTATTTACTAATTCATGATATTCATTTTTTTTATGAAGTGAAAAAAAATGCATATCTACTTGAATTCCATGCGATTACTGTGCATGGTACTCACTACATATAGTGGCTGTCATGGATGAAACTGTAATTGCTGGAAAACCAAAAATAAATTTTGACTATTAGAAAACATAAAAATCATTTTGTTTTTATAAATATTAATTTAGAATAAATATGTTCTTATTTAGCGTTCTTAATTTAGTGGAACTATGCCAATTACAATTTAGAGAATTTGTTTTCGTGACACATTTGGAAAGATTCCCAATAAATAAAAAAAATTACAGTAAAGATTTACACGATAACTGTTATTTTGCCTGTTCATATTATAAATATATATATATATTAAAGATTTATTATTTATCAGTTGCTACAATTTTGAATAATTAATTTACCGGGTCTGTTGATGCTCGAGATCTGACAGGACTGCTAAAGGCGCATCTAGGTGTCTTGCTGAACCAAGTTTATTTGACCGTGGCACAATAGCTCGTTTCTGAAATAAATTATTTTATATTAATATTTTTCTAAAAAAATAATTCACTCTAATTATTTAAAAAATCATTAAAAAGTTTTATATAAAAATTTATAGAAAAAAAAATTACTACCAAAAAATGGGCTCTTAATTTTAATATTAAGTGCTGAGTATTTTAATTTTATTTTATATTTAAATTGTATAAATTATTTTTAACTCTTAATAAAATTAAGAATTTATTTTTAGAGAATTTTGTCTACTTATAGTTCACTCTAATTAGTTAGAAAATCATTAAAAAATTTTATAGAAAAAAAATTATTACCAAAAATAGGCTCTAAATTTTAATATTAAGTGCTAAGTATTTTAATTTTATTTTATATTTAAATTGTATAAATTATTTTTAGCTCTTAATAAAATTAAGAGTTTATTTTTGGGAATTTTTTTCTACTTGTAGATTGATATTTGCTTAAAAAACCTCGTTGGAAATGAATCATCCTAGTAACCCGGTTTTTGCACATATATTACTTATATCTATAGGGTACATGTCTATATATTTAATGTATACATGTATATTTTATTCTAATTAATAAATAGATAAAAAATTACAATCCGCTGCATGAAAAAAACATAATTTGAAAGCTGGTTTTTTTTGTAAATTTTTTACACATATATTCTTCAATATTCTTCTCTGAAACCTCAAATTTAAATAAATTAATTTACAAAATTCTATTAATAAGGAGGTCCTTTCGCCGCCAATGTAAAATAAAAAATATTAGATTATGAGTAAATTAAATTTTTTTTTCTAATAGTTGAAGTCCTTATTTATCTAATAGTGAGGTTTAAATTATACTTTACCGGACAAATTTTTGAAAAAATAAAATTTTTAAATTTTAGTATTTGTTCAGAGGCTTACGAGAAAGTCAGACGTTTGCAGTATTTCTCGAATTATACTATCAGTCATGGATTAGATGAAGTAAAAAAAAACTAAAAATTAGATTTTCAAAATATTCAGGTTTCTTTTTTTGCAATAAAATATATCAGTTACCGAGATATTTATTGAGAAATTAATATTTAAAAATCACAAAAAATTCTCAAGTAACCTACATTAATACGGAGTCAAAATATTTGGCAACGTTGCGTAGCGCGCGAGCTTCAGACCATTCAATAAATTCAATAAATTCAAACTAATTTATTTATTTACACTGACTGCAAAAACTTAAACGTGTTTAAGGTTATAATGTGCAAATGAAAATGTAAACAACCGAAGTACAGCGTTGTCAAATCACGGACAGGTTACTAGCAGCTGATTTGAAAGAGTCAAATTAATTTTTGTATTTAACTATTTTTTTTTTTTTTATTTTTAAAATTTCAACGATTAATGCCTCATATACTATTTATTATTTAATTTTAGGAATTTTTTATTTTAATTTATCGTATATTGACTACTACAATTGTTTTGACTCAACTGGAGCTAAAGGATTTCCTTTTAATATAATTATAATTATTTTTATCCCAATTATAATTTGAATTTAATTTAATCGATAAAAATTAAAATTGATTACAAGGCTGTATTAATTTTGGAAATGAGTAAACTGATATAATAAATACAATGTACATTATTTTATCATCATCATCATCATCATCTTCGTAATGCTTCAATAACAGATTAACTTAATCATAACGTCTATTTCCGAGCTATCCACAAAACGATATTTAAATTTTGCTATTGATTGCGATCAATTGACATCTATCAGAAAATAAATCAAAGTTGGAATAGACGTCAATGATAAATCATCGCTCACTGTATCTCAAATAATAATTACAGATACAATACAAGTGCTTAGATATTTTACTATTTTATCAGTTAACTTGTAATTATCCCACTTAAACAATTATAATTAATAATTATTCTAAATATAATTGTAAATATTGATAAGCTAAAATTAAAAACACTAGTTCAATATTTATCTAGATTCTCGTGAGTTTCCAACTTCTAATAAATCAATAACTAAGGTTGGCGTACGCTAATTACCTGCCAGTAACAGTTAACTCTAACAAATTTATGCCAAGTAATAAACGTTAAAAATACTTTCATGTTATTTATATTTATCGAACAATTGTAAATAATTCTGCCGGTCTCAGAGGTTAAATGTCTAATATTGGTGACAATATAAAAAATTCATTTAAAAAAACCTCTGTCGCTATCTATAACATGTTCAACAATAAATATTTTAGTTATTTTAATAAGCGAAGAAGAATAAAATAAATCGTTTATTTTATTTTAAAAAAAGTTTCATTCATTAACATGTGATTGTCATCTAATTTGCATTTTTTTCGAGCAAACCGGAATTTACAAAAAAAATATAACCAATTATCACCGGTTGTTTTTTTAGTATCATTCTGTGAATCCATCTTATACTTTACTATCTAAATAAACTTCCGCATACGTAGTATTTCTCATTAATAGCCGTTGATTCATAAATAAATTATCGTCAAATGTATTCTGATTATCAATTATAAATTTTTAAAACCAAAAACTTCCAGCGCTGATAACCTGCACATCAAATTCGATCAATATATTTTTAATTTCTCGGATACTGAAATCAATAGACACAATTTTTTAGATTTAAGGTAAAAGACCCAATTATAAACACTTTTAATTGTAATTTAATTAAAAAAAAAAATCAACTCTAATAAATTAATAAATATAATTTTTGATTTATAAATTTTTGTTTTCAGAAAATTTTATTTAATTAATTAGAATAAAATGAAAAGTGTCCAACAACTAGGCCAGTATCAATAACTGGGTCTTTTATCTTATATAAAAATTATTAAAAAAAAAAATTTGGTAGAAATTTAAAAAAATTATAAAAAAAAATTTAGCAAATATCTGACAATTTTTAGAATTTTTATATAAAAAATTAAAATAAAAATTTTAGATGATACTAAAGTTAGCCGAAATTTTTAATTTTTTTTTAATAATTAAATTAGAACAAAAAAAATATTTTTAAAAAATTGCACTTACAGTTTTTTACTTACTTAAGTTTTTAAATTTTTACAAGTTGTTTATTTTTTTTTCGTTTTTTTGTAGTACTTAATTTTTTAAAAATTAAAAAAAAAAATTTAAAAAATTTTTAATGCCGGCTAACTTAATTTTCATAAATTTTAGATGTAAAAAATTTTCAAGAACTAAAAGTGTAATTTAAAAAAAATATTTTTTTTCAGTTTTAATTAAATTAATTTTTTAATATTTGCTGATTTAATTGTAAGTTCTTTTTATATACTTTATATACTCCAATAAAAATGTCACTGATCCATACGAAACTCCCTATTAATATTCATATCATGTCATACTATTGATTTCTTTCATCGTGCCCGCTGGTAAATAATCTCCTACCCCAATAGTGCCTTTAAATTTTTCGCCGGTGCATATATAAATTGACCAGCGACGGGAAACTAGACACCTGTGCAAGGATAATCACGTTTTCCTAAAACTTTATCGGCTTTTAAATGCGTTCTGTCACAATGGGGCGCTCGAACCTTCTCAGCTAGGGTGCAGGTTATTGATCGCCAAAGTGCTAAAGTTCCGGGGTTCTTAATACAACAAAATTCTTGATACAAACCTTAAAAAAAAAAAAAAATTAAGAATATAAAATAAATTTCTAAGTTCTAATTTTAATTATCTGATTATCTATCACTATTATCTAATTAGACTATACTTAGTGTTAAAAAATTCGGTCAAAGTCAGAACCCACGTGGGTTTATTTGAACAATTTAAATGATTAACGCAATAATTGAAAACATTAATTATGACAGATTTATTTCATTTATTTTTAAAGACTAATTAATTTAAAAAACAATTATAATAAATTTAACGCACTCACCTTATGACTAGAGTGAAATCTACGGAAAATATTAGCACCCATTTTAGGAACGTGACTCATTTTCATACTGTATATAACAACTTCCCTAAACATTTTCCTATATTTATATTGTATTATATTAATACAACAGCAATTAAATTAACTACAATTAGTACTTTCGTTATCGAGTTATAAAACTCTCACACTATTCAACAATTAGATAAAAGTAATATATATATATATTTTTTTCAATAAATATTGTAACTATAGTTTTCAATCACTCACGCACGGCGTCTACGGCACGAAAAACGGCTAGACCCTCATAGACCCTAGATCTAGATACTACTACTCGATAACTCGATGCACATTTACGCATTCTCAAGAGACGTGTCGGGGAAGGCGGCTAACTCAGGACATGCGCAAACTTATTAACATTCGTCACATTAATCACCTAAAATAATAACAATTAAAAATTAGTTATTAACTATGATATTAAAGTATGACACTGAAGTTAGAAGATGAAAATTAAGTTAGCCGACAGCTAAAAACTTTCAGAAATTTTTTTTATTGAAAAATTATTACAAAACGAAGAAAATAAAAAATTTCACTTGTAAAAAACTTTAAAAACTATCAGTGCAATTTTTTAAAAATATTTTTTAGTTTTTATTTCATAAATAAAAAATTGAAAATCTCGGCTAACTTTAGTATTATAGTTAGCAGACGTCTAAAAATTTTTGATTTTTTTTATTAATTAAATTACAACTAAAAAGAAATTTTTAAAAAATTGCACTTATAGCTTTTAAAGTTTTTTACATATGACAATTTTTTTTTTTTTATTTTTTAATTGAAATTTTTTCAATAAAAAATTTCTAAAAATTTTTTAAATGTCGGCTAATTTAATTTTCATTATTAACTATAAATAAAAAATAATCTTTAATGAAATTTTATTTACTATTTTCTAGGAGTTATTTATTGTCGGAAAATATTGCTAGCGATTACAGATTATTTAAAAATAAATGTGTTTTCGTTCTGTCTCTGGTAAGTATAAAATGTATAAAATTATAAATTGTTTATATTAATTTAAAAATATTAAATAGTTGTTAATTTATTATTTAATTTTTTAGGCGAGATCGTGATAAAACATACGCGGAATTTATCGGAATTGTTTTAAATACCTCGGAGTTCTTAGAATCTAAGTATCGTCTTACTTACATCATTAAATAATACTTATTATAAATAATATTAAAGATTAAAGATACGAACACGCGTGAGTGTATTATCTGTTAAAAATAAAAGTTATTGTAGGTAAGTATAAAATAAAAAAAAAAAAAAAAAAAAACTAATAATCGATGTGTCATTAATACTTTGGTTATCATTAGATTTCCCAACGCAATCATAATTGTCTTTTGTGTAATAATAATAATAATAATTAATATAAATGTTTTAAGTATGTACATTTAATCGAATGCACTTTTGCTTTTGATTTATGCTATTAAATAAAACTAGTTAAAATAAAGCTCAGAAAATCAGTCGATATATATCAATTACGTTGTTAATAACTACTTTGTTTTTATAATTGAGTAATGTTAATGTCAATAATTTCAATTGTTTGCGATATTGAAAACAGCAGATCTCACAGTTTGTTCTTTAATTAATAATCACATATTTTTATTTAATATTTAAAGATTTATAGCGATAAAATATTTTTATAAAAGTACATAATCCAAAGAATTATTTTTTTAATAATAAAATTCAAGATTATTAATTTAAATAATTTTATTTTGTCAAAAAAAAATTTTTAATTCTTTGAAATATGCTTATTTTTAATTTAGCATATTAAAAAAATTTTTTTAAATCTAAACTACCAAGTTCGAAATTTCTACACCAAATTTATCAAATAATTATATCACATAATATCAATATAAAAAATCCTCCCGTATTAAAAAATAACTAATTTTTAATAACTTAAAATCAATACTAAAAAACTTGTCAATCTGCTCTTTTCATAATGATTAGCGCCAAGATTTTTGCCGCAAAGTCAAAATAATAATTCATAATTAATGATTCAAATTTTTTATATTATGGCAAAAATATTGGTCCTATAAAAAATTTTTCAAACAAAAGTTCAAAATTTAAATTTATAAAAAACATGTCCCCGATGTTTTTTTTTTTAGGATCAATAATTTAAAAAATAAGATTCATAATTATCACAAAATTTGAATCTTTATTTTGGAGAAAGCAAAAATATTGATTTTTATAAAAAATCATAACGAGAGTTTTCTAACGCAACCACGTATCTCGATTTTTGAAGATGAAAGGATTCAACTGAAAAATTAATAATTAATTATTAACGCGTTACTGAAAAAAAAATATTAACCAGATTAATAATAAATACGATAGTATTTTTAGAAAATACAATTGATTAATATTCTTTTTAGATGAATATTAATTTTTTATATTGTCATTTTTGAGATACGAGGTTGCGTCAGAAAACCATCGATAAGAAACATTTTTTTAAATTGAATTTTGAACAAGTTCTGTTCAATAAATTTTTTAATAGAATCAATATTTTTCCCTTAATTAATATTAAAAATTGAAAGGATTTATTTTAAAATTACGGCAAAAATTAAGTCCCTAATAATCACTAACCCACATATAATTCCTAAAAACTAAAATCTAATTCAAATAACAGTATCTTGATAAGCAGGAGGTCCACTTAAGACAAATTGCCGCTGACTTTGTCTGACAATATCAGTCCTATTTGGTACTTGAGGGGTAGCTCTGATCCCATGATAATTGCTGTAACTGGAGCGCGCACTAGCAGGTCTGTTACTGTAAAGATCATCATGATCATCAGCATTATTGAGACTCTGAATACTAGTCTGCTGGAAAGTGGGGTTGCTTTGACCTTGCCACTGCATGTTGCTGCAGCTGGGCTCAGGCTGCCAGGAATCTGCGAGTTGTCTGGTGGAGCTCGCGGCATTGCTGTCCCAGCAAGTCTGGGCAGAGACCGCGGAGCTTGAAGCCAGGTTGGTGATGTTAGAGTAATTGGGATCTGGAGCCCAGAGAGTTGGCGAAGAAACAGCCATGTTGACCGCCTCAGGCTGCCACTGTCGTTCACGGTCCCAGGTGGTGGCGATCCTGTCGTAGTTGAGCGTTCCCTGGGACAGGGAATTAACATTCTGGTTCGTCAGCGGACTTGGCATCGTATTGGCGTACAAACTCTCCTGCTGCTCCATGATGCGGTTCACCGGGTTCTTTCTTCTTGTCGTCGACTGTCGGACTGAGCTGCGCCGATTGCTGGACCTACGAGTTCCGTCCCGGGAAATAACTGACCGCCGCTTGACTCTTCTTGGCGTCATCGGCTTCGGAGACACTTCATCCTGAGGCGGTGGTTCTGGTTGTGAGTACTCTATACTGTACAACGGGCGAGTCTGCTTTTTCCTTTTGTTAATTCGTGCTACAAAAAAATTATTTTTTAATGTTTTGCTTTTTTTTTCTTTTTAGATTACACTACTTAATGCTTTAACAAGTCAGCCCACGGAAACCAGTTAGAAGATAATGATAAAAATACAGAAGGGTTTAGAAATAACAAAAGCCAAGCGAATTTACTGTTTGCAATTGGATTGTTTATTTTTTTTTTTAATTTCTTCCTAGTATAAAAGATATATTTTTATAATCTTAACTTATAATTATTTTATTACTATTATTAATATTATTTATTAATTAAAATATAAAAGATTTAGACTCTAAGTAAATGCAGTATGAAAATAATCTTATAAAATACATTCAAAAAAATATATCTCTGATTTGTGATGTCATTCAGAAATTCAAACAATACTATTGCAACAAGTTTGTTCTTTTTTATTTATTTATCTCATGTCAAGAAGAAAAAAACTGCTGAAAAATTTTGTAATTTAATTTTAATTATTTTTGATCTTTTTATCAGTCTAAAATTTCTTTTATTAATTTAAATATAAAAGAAATTTTTTATTTAAAAAAATTATTAATAAAATATTGAAAATAGTAAAAATGAAAAAAATTTCAGCAATTTTTTCCTGTTTTTATAAAAATTCAATTTAAAAAACTAGCAAGTCAGTATTATGAAGTAAAAAGTCATTCAGCACCATCCAGTTTAACATATCACAGTACATACAGTAAGTCTATTAGTCATAAGAGAAAAATAAAAAAAAAAAAAACACCAACCACACTTGCTGTCAAGCAACACTACGAAATAATTAATTAATAATAATAAAATCATAAACCATTTCTAACTACAAACAATTATAAATAATACTTGATACAATAAAATGACAAAAGAAGCGGTGACTACTACCAAATTCTTTGGCTAACTAAATAAATAATTCCGCTAACATGAGCAATGGGGTGGCGCAAAAAAACTATTTTTTTTTTTTTTTTAAGTCTCGAGTGGAAAAATGTTAGTTTTTGATGTTTTAAGAGCTTACTCCAAAGGGCAGCTAGAAAAAAAATTTTAAAAGGTCCAAATTTTTTTAAATTTCAAAAATTGTCAAAAATCGAATTTTTTTTTTAAATTTTTTTTCTCGTTACGTCATAATTTTATAGACCAAAAAAAAGGTTTTCCTGAAAGTTTCAGTTCAAAATGTGAATTTTAAAAGGTCGCTCATAATTTTTTCTTAATTTATTAGTGATCATTTAATTGTATTAGGATTTTTTGACTCTGAAATTTAAAAAAAATTATGAGCGACCTTTTAAAATTAAAATTTTGAATTAAAACTTTCAGGAACTTATTTATTTTTGGTCTATAAAATTATGACGTAACGAGAAAAAAAATTAAAAAAGAAAAAAGTTTCGATTTTTGAAATTAAAAAAAATTTGGAGTGACCTCTTAAAACATCAAAAACTGACATTTTTTCACTCGAGACTCAAAAAAAAAAAATAGTCAATTTTTTTGCGCCACCCTAATGAGCAAGGTAAGACTCAAATAAATCGGTTACATTTAATTCAGCGATTAAAAAAAAAAATAATATTAAATTTTTTTTTGACAAAATAAATATTTATATAAATATAAGTGTATATATATTATTACAAATAATATTTTCACAGCTTGCTAGCGTACAAAGACAAAGGTCTGCTGTCTCTGGCTCTGTTATTATCATTATTATTATTAATATTAGAATTATTATCAGATGGCAAAGTATTTTGGCCCATTGCGAGGCGCGGATCCGAGTAAAAAGATCTCAAGGGTTGTTCGCGCACGTAGTCGGTGAAAATTCTGGGCCTAAATGAGTTCCTATTTGTATTGTTATTAAAATGACTACTACTGTGATGATTATTATTATTATTATTATTATTATTATTGTGAGGAGCTTGTGAAGAAGCGCGAGCCCTCCTGAGAACAGGGGAAACGACGGGGCTGTAGGCAGGCTTGTAAGGCCGGTTGTTTTTTTCGAATCTGAGTTTAACCGAGCTTTCGAGAGAGTCGTAGTCGCCGGCGGGTGGTGAGATAGGTCGGTGCAAGTGGTCGAGTGGATTTGAGTAGTCGTTGTAGCAGTCGAGGTTGTCGGCGATCCGCGTGGAGGCACTGCTGCTCTTGGTACTGCGAGCCGTATCTCCCTGGCCCATCATCATCATCATTGTCATCATCGAGGGCTTAACGACACCGACGCGCTGCTGAGATGACTTATAGTCGGTATTATGACTTACTAGACTGGGTGGTTTGTCCACCCCGTACTTGGGAAGCGTCGTGTCACGGTATACCGAGGATGAATTGTTAGAGCCGGTTGTGCCTCGTGGGTAGCTTTGGTAGTTTGGATTTGACTGAGAGTAAGTAGTGCTTGCTGGTGGCAAAGCCGAGTAGCTAACGTACATCGGGTGCAACGGAGTATGACCTGCCAAACCAAAATCACCACCTCCCACAAAGTCAACTGAAAATTTTAGTCAACGTACCAGGGTATTAGATATCAGTTTGCTTTGATTTTTTTACACTTTACTTTTTACACGCGACTTTTTTTTTTTTGTTCATCTTATGTTTTTTTTTTCTTTTTGTTTATGGTATTGGCTTTTGTCAATCTACTTCATGCTACGCATAATGCAATTTTTTTTTTTTTTTTTTCAAATCTACTTGTTGTTTTTGAATGATTACACGAGAAATATTTTATTTAAAATTACAGAATATTTTATTGGTCATTTGTTTGGCACGACTCATGATGCGAAGCATCAGAGAGTGCTTTACGATGGAAAAATTTTTTTTTTCCTCCATTTCGCAACTATTTGATTAATTACACGATTGGTAATCCACGTAGTCTAATTAATTTGCGCATAATTCGATAGATAATTTAATGAAGATTAATTCTGTCACTGGTAAAAATCAATTTAAGATAATAGAACCAGAAAAAAATATCAAAATAGTTAAAAGAAAATTCCTGTCAATCAACACAATTTTCCGTTTTGAAATTTGTTTTTTATTAACTTGGCATTTATCTTATTTAGTGTTGTTTAATTGTTATTAATGAAAAACTAAAATTAATGAAAAAATACACTCAGTGCGCATGATCAGTTTAAAACACCGCATGATATTTTAAAATGAAAAAATAAATAAAATAAAAAAAAAGAAATTGTATTTTAAAGTAATAAAAAAAAAATAGAAAACTATTTTTTCAGAACATTAATTATTTATCGAACGAATGAGCATTATGAGTCGTGCACTTTTGGATTTGCCAAACTTTTGTTTTTTATTTATAAATTTTATTGAAGAAAAATTAAATATTTTATATAAAATGATAATTAAATTTTTGTAATAATTTTCTGTAATTTAAAAAAAAGTATTTTTTTTTTTTCGTGTAATAAATAAGAGATATAAAGATAAAATAGTTAAGAATTTAATAGCCATTACCATCATGCCACATCTAAAGTAGATGCTTAAATGAAATATACGTAGAAACTTACCAGAAAGGAGGATCAAATCCACCAATAAAATCGACTGAAGGATTTTAAGATACATGATAGTGGCATGTAGGAATGGTAGTTACCAATTTTGCGTGTGAGAAAAAAAAAGTGATAAGCAGTGAAATTAGATACCATTTTAAAGTATTAATACATAACTAATTTAATAAGTAATAATAAATAATTGTGTCTATAACCGCCCAATGGCTATCACCTTAAACGAAAAATGAAATTAGCGGGAAGATTTGGACTAATATATGAATTATTTAAGTGGCATTGATCCAATACTAGAGATATGATAATAATTCTGGCAGAGAATTCGAATACTTACAACTGTCATCCTCTTCGAGGAACGCGCGGCTCAGACAGATTCCACCGACGATGGCCATAAACTAAAATAGATATTTGTTGTTTTATTATTATAGCGATGACAACACTCGTGTTATACATAATAATAAGTAATTTAATATATTATGAGATCATTAATTTTAACGAGAAGATTGGGACTTACGGCCAGCAAACACTGTGTTGACGCGTGCAAGACTTCGATGGTCTCATATTTTAATAGGCAGTCGGTGACGTTTTTAGGCCGCGCTGGTCGAAGCAATTCCGGCTCGATGATGTCGTAGATCGGTTTGCAGCCCGGGCCGTTGACCTGCCACCAGGAGAAACTCCCCGTTCCCAGGTTCAAATAGTCATCGCGCTGTTTTTAAAAAACCAGTTTTTAGAATTAATTGTTATTTTTAGTCTACGCATATGTTAGGACACCTGTCTTATTTAATTAGTCATGATAATGCTACCTGATAAATGATAAATGTTATTGTTAATCATAGTTACCTTATCTAGTGATCCGGCTTCTAGGTAAAAACATATGCAAAATATATTCCATCCTAGCCATAGTATGTCCCATATACAGTACTGAAATTATTTTCAATTATTATTTTAGTATTTTTATTTGAAATCATTTGTGGTTTTATTTAAAAATTTTTTAAGATACTTAAAAAAATTATTTGGCTTTAAAAATTTTTATTAAAATATTATTTTCTATTATTTATTAGTATCAGTTGTACAGTTTGATGTTAACAAAACTCTTTTACATTTTTCTCTTGAATCTAATAAATTTTTAAAAGAAAACATTTTAACATGTAAATATATATGTTTTGTAGCCCTTGTTAATTTTTTTTCTAATAAAATCAAAAATAATTTGGTCGGACAATTTTGTATAGATTTAAGACGTCCTTACAGATAATCACCCATTTATTAAATTATTTATTTTAAATAATTTTATTTAAAATAAAATAAAATAGATAAATAAAAATATTTTTAAAGATACTTAAAAAAAATTACTATAAAAATTATTTGACTGTAATAATTTTTATTTAAATATTTAAACATGTAAATAAAAATTTTTTTTATTAATTAACTTTTCATTCACAATGATCAACAATAAAAAAAAAAAAAATATTTTGCATATCAAAAAGTATTTAAATAAAAACCTAAAGTATTTTTCTTTGAATTGAAACGTATAAAAAACAAACTTACCGATATTATATATTTAGGCCTGTACTGAAAGGCTCCAAAAAAACCAAGAATAACAAAAATAATGTTAAAAAAGTTGAAGAGTATCGGGGCCCACATAAACCCCAGAAAGTCGAACACCTGGCGTTCTATCGTTGTTAGCTGTAAAAATATAAATAAATACACTAGAGTACAAGAATATAAATTTGACACAGTTATAATAGTCATTTATAAATGTATATATATATATTCAAATTTATATTATCTAGTCTAACAGTAATAGTAATAAAAATAATAATAGTAATAATAATAATACTAATAAGAATGTTTCTAGTAATAACCGTAACAATGATACATTTTACAGCTTTCTCAATTTATATCAATTGTACCCACTCACAGGCGACATTTATTTCGTCTTGACAATTAATTCGATCAGACTAATTAAGCCGTTACGTAATTTATCTCTTGCACAATAAATAAATTAATCAATTTATTTCACCGGAATAAATTAAAAAAATAAATAAACAAACTCTAAAAAATCTTTGATCTGTCAAGTGTTGAGCTAAAATAAAACGGATGCAAGCAATAAAGGCATTTATTAAATATTTAACATACTCTAATACTATAGTTAGCAATTTATGATAAGCTATCATGAGTTATTACAATTTTTTTCGACACCTATATTCCGTGAATTTACAAGTATAGTGACCATGAAATGATATCACTGATACTAAATGACTCAATGAATAAAATAAAAAACAATAATCATAATTATAGTGGTATTACGAGTAAAACCTGTCTTAGTCTAAAATAAAAAATAATAACTATTATTATTATTATTATTATTATTATTATATTATCGAGAGTAAAAAATATCTTGTTACACTTACAAGTTGCAGAGTACATATTGTCAGTAAAAAATGTCTTCTACTGCAAATTCCCATGTCATTATTTGGACGGACGTAAGCTTCGGGTAAGGCAAGAATAAATGGCCCACGTGTATGTGACTAATCACTTCACTTGTTGGATATAGTAATGGTAATGGTAATGATGAGTCGACTCAAACGTTGATTGTATTGTTATATACAAGTAAAAGTGTGAATCGAATCCCGTAGAGCATCACGGTGCTCCAGCTTCAGGTAGTATAGTAGTAAACAAAGACACTACTCGGATACGAGAAGACGATAGGTATTATCCAAGCTGGGCATATCACTGTACCGTGTGTACCTGAATATCAAGTAGTTGTTTTATTATTTAATATTAATTTTATTTATTTATTATTAATTTAAAAAAATTTTTTAACTAAGTGAATGAAAGCAGTGACGCCATTTTAGACAAACGCACTTACTCAAACTCCTGGTTTATTCTACTCTCATGCTCATGAGTAACTGAGAGAAATATCCGTGATATCCGTTCACTGAGCCACATTATACATACACAGGTCACGAGATAGCTATGTAAGATGCATACCAATGAAAATGACGACTGGGTGATGCCTGGCCTGTACTGGGGCTGGGGAGCAAGACCAAGCTTGCTGCTGTTGCTGTTATGTACTATTATATGTAATGACTATGTACTGGTGTCTGTTGTTATGTGTGTTGTAGACAGTAGACGTATAAGCTAAGCGTAGATATGAGGATGACGAGAATTGAGAATACGAAAGCGCCCGAGCCGGCTGCTGGACTTTTATTCGTTTACACTCGTACTCACTACTCAGCTTGCTACAATATATCTACAATACACGTAAATATTTTATTTTAGTATTTTAGTTACTATTAAATGCTCCTACTACACTGTTACACTGTGCTGTTGTTTTTTTTACTTTACCTGTTTGCTGTTATGTTACCTGTAGACTGACCGGCCAGCCCACTGCTGCCAACTGCGCACTGACACCCACACACGTCCTGGGATAAAGTGCAGGATTTACAAGGAGAGACAAAGAGCAACAAGTGCGGTCAGCTCGCGCATGCGCGGAAATTGACAGCTGAAGTTAGTTACGGGATATTAACCTGAATTTTGATTTTTTTTTGTTGGGGAATTTTTTTTAAGAAGAAATTTTGTGGGAAAAATATGAAAATTTAGTAAAGAAAATTATTTAATTAATTTATGAAAATTAAACTAGCCGACACTAAAAAAATTTTGATTTTTTTTATTAATTAAAAATTTTTTTCAATAAGATAAATTACAAAAATTTTCAAATGGCTAATTTAATTTTTATAATTATCTTTTTTTAATTTTTGGGATTGATTTTGTGGAAAAGTTAATGAAGAAATTAAAATTTTTTTTAATTTGTTTTTAAATTATCATTAATTTTAAAAATAATGTAAAAGGTTGAAGACAATTTATTGGAATTTTGTTTGAGAAGAATATAAAAAATAAATAAAGAAGAAATTTAATATTAATAAAAAATTTATGAAAATTAATTTAGTAGATATTTGATAATTTTAAGAATTTTTTTAACAATGAAATTATAGCAAAAAAAAAAAAAGTTAAAAAAATTGACATGTAGAAATTTTAAAAAATAAAGAATGCAACTTTTTGGAAAAAATTTATTTGTTAAAAAAAATTAAAGAATGGTTGACTGCTAACTTTAATATCATAAAAATGTATAAACTAATATTTATTTTATTTTGTAAAGAAACAAAATTTTGAAAGTTTAAACATATTGTTCAATGTTGACAGTTTCCATGGAAGCAATAAAAGTTCTCTAACGCAAGCAATTAGTCACATCTTTATTCAGCTTGGCGTAATGAATACTCGGATTAAAGTGTCTCTTACTCGAGTCTTGTACACTTAGAAAGTTACATGTCGAATAGAGTTAAAACTGAGTAAAAAAACACTCTTTGAGATGTGACAAGAGTTGTTGAGTGAAAATGGTACTGAGTGGACTATTTACTTGAAAAATACTCTGGGTAAACTTTTAACGCTACCTTTATCACTATCAATTACATAATTAAATATTTAACTTTTCATTTTTCTTCCAGATTAAATGTTGCACCGAGATCCCGGCTGATTACATCCATCAATTTGTTGACCCGTTATATTAATTAATTTTTCTAAAATAAAGGTAATTATTTCTTCTTTACCTACTAAATTAAATGAAGATATCTTCTTCAATTACTTTTGAATAAATATTTTTTCTACACTTTATTGAATACCAAAACTATTAAATTTCCTAAAATCAATTTTAATATAAAATGTAAATAATAAATCTTGTCAATAGAATGATAAAGACTCGTGGGAACTTAAATACTATTTATCCTACAAAGCACGAATAACTAATTTATTGTTAAAAAATATTCGATGAAATACAGCCGCTAAAAAAATGTTTCTGGCCTTGACTTAAAATATTTAAAAATTTTTATATATTAAATATATTAGACCGGAACTTCTAACTTTTCAACCAACAAAATGATGAAGACCGTGACCGCATTATATTACTAGTTCTAAGAATGTTTAAATAAAGCGAGCAAGCTGAATGCGCAGTCGCGAAAAATTAGCAAATTATACTTAGCGATCGATGATCGATTAAACGACAAACGTCAGACTTGTTTAGTTGATAAGTTGTTTTTATATTTCTTAGCAGTGACTTTATTTTGTTAGAGCTTTATGTAAGACACAAGCTTTTTTTTTTCTTTATCAAAATTAATATTTTGCTTGCAGTTCACGTTTTTTCGTGGTGAAAAATTCATTTTTTATCGCACCGTAAAATGATAAATTGTCAGTGACAGTTTTAAGGAATTTATTATTTCCTGTATAAATAAACCTACTAGCGTAAGATTTAATATGAAAATTCTCAGCACGTTGATGAGGAAGATATTTATAAACACGGAGTTCGTAAAAGTGGAGGGAGAGAATAAAACAAAGGGAACTTCTGAAGAGGTACAGTACACAATATTACACTATGAGAAGAATATAATAGTTAAATTATCACAATAATAACATTATTAATAATAAAAATAATAGTATTCGTAGGTACGGATCGTCTAAGGTCACCGGAAGGCACGTTCACCGTGCATAAAATATACGGGGATGGAAACTGTATGTTCCGTGCGATAAGTTTAATTCTTTGGGAAACCGAAGAAGAACATCGCTCTCTGCGTACTCTGGTTGTTCACCACATCATGGATCACTGGCGAGATTACGCACCGTATGTTTTGGCCGAGTGGGGAATAAGCCGACCCGAAGATTATCTCGATTACATGAAGCACGAGGGGGTGTTTGCCAGTGAACTTGAGTGCATCGTCGCCACCAAAATCTACGGCCTCGATTTGTCTATTTACCGCAGAGTTAACGAGGTTGATGTCAAGCGGGTATTTTACAACCGCGTGCATCCCAGTCGCGGCACAGCTCGTCTTCTCTTCACCGGGCGCTCCGACAGCGGGCACTACGACGTCCTTTATCTTGATCCATAAATTATTTCATTACAAAAACACTTTTATTTTCTTGTACAAGCAAATTATTATCTAAATTATATATTATACAAAAATAATATTCTATTATATTTACATAAATTAATATATATATGGTTAATTTTAAATATTTGTTATTGCTATTGTTATTATTAGGATTTTATTATTTTTATTTATATGTATATAGTTTTTAGAGGTCGTCACATCCGTGGGTATAAATAAATCGCGTGACAATTGTGATTATTTTGTGGATTGCACAACTAAAAATAATACAATACCAAATTAAGTGGATAAATTATTTGTTTGTTTTTTAAAAATAATACAAATACCAGAGCAGGCCAAAAAACATTTCTTTTTTTTTATTCTGGAATTTATTTATAAATCAGACATCTGATAATTTATAGAAACTTTTTTTAAAAATTTTTAAACTTGCAATTTTTTAAAAATATTTTTAATAATAATTTATCTATTAAATAAAAAAAAAAAAACTTTTTTTTGTTAAGCGATTAGAAAAATTAATTTAAAAAATCTAACAATATTTTTTAGGACCTGCTACTTGTATTTATAAATTAAAATAAATAAAAACAATTATACCTGACGCGATAGAGCGTTGCCGAGCACCAGGTAGCTGACAGACAACATTGATCTCTACGCACCGCTTGAACCACGTCATACGCAACCTTCTCCTCGCTCTGTCTAATTAATCTGACAGGATAATTACAGTGGTTACATTAATGTAAGTAAAAACAACATCTAAATATATATTATCTGAATAATTTATTTTTATTCTCATTAGAAATACCTTGGATCAGCCTTTGGTGCGACGGTCATGAAATTTAAATTTCCGCATCTGCTTCCGAACTCGTGACCCAAACTTTCCATCAAGCCTGTCAATAAATTGATTATTTAATTAGTAAATTTTCTTACTAATCATTGGGCAATTATATTGATGATTGTAATTACCAGTAATCGCAGCTCGAGTGCCCAAATAAGCGTCGTCTGTAGAAGCTGTAGGTGTCATTCCCACGATATGGGCCTTCTGTTGACGATACATTAGTGGAAGAAAGGCAAGAACGGTCTACAATTTAAAAATTTACATTAGAAATAATAATAATAATAACTAGCAATCTTGCAGTCACTATGTGACTGCCGTGACTTGTGAACTATAAATAAATAAAATTTTACTTTATTAAATAATGACTTTTGTTAGATTGTATTGTACTTTCTTAAATATTGACGTTTTTAAAAAAATGAGCTCATCCCGATGTTACACTCATCGAGACCTTTCATTTAAGTACCTACATGACATTTTTCATATATTTTATATATATGGTATTTGTGAAATATATCAATATATAAAATATATGAAAAATTGATGTGGGTACTCAAATGAAAGGTCTCGATGAGTGTAACATCGGGATGAACTTATATCTTTAAAAATGTCAATAATTAAGAACTGAC